GGGCCGGGGCTGTCACCCCCACGGACGCATGCGCGTGGAGCCTTTCCCGCGCTTCAGCGTTTCCCCGCCCGCCCCGCTGGAGCGCAGCCGGCCCTGTGAGGAGGGTGAGGCGGAGGACGGGCTGTGTGGGTACCCTGCGCGGGGAGAGGAGGGTGTGAACCCCGGTGGGGTTGCCTCAGAGGAAATAATTAGGGAACAACACATGGAAACCGCCGTCAGGACTGAGGCTCTATAGGGCCAGGTGGGTTTTGTGTTTGCTTTTCACGGAGTCCTCCACGGGGCTTTGTGGGTGAAACAGTGTCGTGACACTTGAGCCTTTGTAACACCAGTAGTTAGAGCCCTAACAAATGATTTCAAGTATAGCAACGGGTGAAATACTATTTTAAAAGCATGCGTCATGCTGTGTGGATGCAGCAGGGACACCTTAGCCAAGAACAGCAACCTATCGAGTGACTTCTTCCATATGAGAGTAGCTGAAATTCTGCGTTCGGAGGCTTAGACCAACATAGACCAAATCCTTTTTGTCTTATTTGTACACAGGGATTATGTGGAAACAGCTGAGTGGTCATCCTTAGGGAACACAGATAAAATTATTGGTGGGGGTTTCCGTACTTGTGTACAAATCCAGCTGTTGTCAGACGCCCGCCACCCCTGTTGCCACAGCCAGATGTTTAACAATGGCTTGTCCCAGAGTTGTCAGCCCTCCACAAATGCTGTAGCACTCCATCCTCAAAGTCTACTTTGTCCAAGTAGAATAGCTTTTAAAAAATTAAAACCATTTTAAAATAATATTTACAGATTTTAGTTGATGCATTTGTGCATGTGGTATTTAATAGTCTAAGGATTTTAACGTGATAGAATGAAGACAAGTTCTCACACCATCCCTAACAAAATAATTAATAGCAGAAAGATGTGCAGATGTTTCTGTGGTGCAGCCACCTTAACCCTGACCCACGTCATCTTGAGGCATTTTTGTATGTAGTTTCCCACTCCTGCTTGTGGCGCCAACATGCATTTGCAAGGATGTTTGTCAGGTGGGAAGTACGAGTTGTATTCAAGTTAGAAGGCTGGGGTTATGCAGAAGCCAGTGTAGGCATCTCTGAAATGAAAAACATATTTGTCAGTTCACAGTTGGGTTTATGAATGTCACATGTAATTAGTTTGAAAACTAAATAGAAAACTGATAGATATAAGCTACAATAGGTTATAAATTTAAGGCAAAGTATGAAATAATTTGAATAGTTATTACCAGTAGGTTCAATTAAAAACTGAATGTGCTGTATATAGAAAGTTTCAGTGCACAGCCTCTGCCTATACATAGAATGAGGTTAAAAATTACTGGTTTTATTCAATGTTTGGTATAAGGTTATCTGCCACGTGCATTCTCTAGTAACTTCACTTTTTTTTTAAGCACATTTGCCTCTTGAGATATTACAGTTACATGGCATAACTAACTGCATAACTGATTGTAACCTTACCTGTTTTGTTGTGATGCATGTTGGTTTTGAACAAAGATCCTGGATTCTTAAGGGTTTTCTCCCTTTTCCTTTGGAGAATGTAAAGGAAAAAATGAAATAGTTCTTTCAGAATATTTGATAGAAAGGATGGATCAACAGGTTTGTACGAAATGATGCCACTTGTGTCAATAGTTAACTCTTCTGAAACCATTCCTGATACAGCTGTGCATGTTCACTTTTCCTCACATATAACCCTGGAAGTAGGAAATCCTCAAGTGGTTATTTTTGACTGCTATGATAACAAGACAGTTTTACAATGGAGTTGGCATCATAGACTTCTACAAAAATATTTTTTTTTAAATTTATGGTGTGGGTGGTTTTTTTTTTTTTTCTTACAGTCCTTTAAACTCCTAGGATTTCTGGATGTTAAAAAAGTCCCATGTGCACGAGAATCAGTGCTCTATGGCTCCGTGGGATCTTTAGTTGTGGGTCTTGGACATTTTTTAGTAACTAGTAAGTACTTATTCCTTCTGATTTTTATTTGCAAGGAAAAAATTTCAATTTGCTGTTAGGTTTTATTGATAATGGGAAGTCATCCAAGGTTTTTTCTCTAATTTTTTTGAGGATTTTTGTTTTTCTTTCAGGTAGAGTTAGAAGATCTTGTGACTTTGCAGTCGGTGGCTTTATTTGCACAATGTTAGGATACTGGTATGTAAAACGGTTCTTGAATTTTGACAGACCTGTGTTGACTGCTTTGTACAACATGATCCCTGTATGACCTTTTACACTGTTTTTGAAACTCCATAAAAAAACTTGTGTAGCAAAGTGTCCTCTTCCTTCTCCCTGAAATATTTATTTTTTTAAAGGAAAAGAGTTCAATGCCTTTGAATTTTTATGTTAGTATATTTTTTAAAAACTTGCTATTGTTCCTTGAATCCTAAGAGGTCAAACCACCCAGTTATTTCCATCTGTCTTAATTCTTTCTCTTTTCCTTCACATATGCCATCCTTCTGTCCTAATTATAAAGGCAGCATACTAAATGGTCGTGAAATTAAGATCCAGATTACAGAAATTAGCATCAGACTTGTATATCCTGCTCCTCAGTGGCTGGATAATGTTTGCCTTAAAGAAAGAGCATTTACCCTAGTATTGTCATTATGCATAATTTCATAATTAATTTTACTAGCAGTATTATACGTGGTTTCAACTTTTCAAGTGGCTGAACAACCCTGATTTGATCCTGTCACTCATATAAAGCAGGGAATCATTTTCTTTTCATCCCTTCCTCTAGGTTTTACTGCAGGTACAATTTGGCCCAACAGAGGATCCGGCAAAGAATGATTAAAGAAGGAATGAGAAACAGAATTTTATTTGAAGGTACTTCTCTTGATCCAGAAAGAAAACGAACTGGCAATGAAGGGAGCGATTCATAGTCTGCTATAGAGGAATCTGTGGTCTAATACAGCTTTGGGAGAAGGTGGTCCAAAAATGGCAGTCTTGTAAAAGTGTGAGGTGCGTAAAACTGATAAATCATGGTGGTTTTCATAGCAAATCCAAGCAAGAAATTCATAGCACATCTGTTAAGTCAGTATACAAGCCTTTCTTTGTTTAGTATATGTATGTATGTGACTATGTACACAGATAGGAATGACCTGTTAAACATCTGGGAACTGATGGTTTTTGTTGCAGGGTCTCGGAGGATTAATGACAGGTTTTGGGACTGCTTTAACTTCCGTTAGAAACAGAATGGTTTGTTTTAGCAAGTTGTAATTACATCTCGTTTAAATACAGGAAAATACTTTCATCAGCTGTTCTCTTGAGTAAATGTATCCCTCAGTGCTGCTGTTAATTGTGCTGTTTGTGGAACAGGAATATTTAAACAGTAGGTAAAGGCTTTGCTTGTGCAAGATGTGTGGTATCAGTAGCCTTTGTAAGATTTCAGGTGCAGAATAAGTTCAGATAATTTATATACACTGTGAAGTTGAAGGATTTCCATCTTTGTTCTGTCTGTGTGAAACTAAGAATAAAATCACATTTCAGAAACAGTCTAAGAGTATGTAAGTACCTAATCTTTTTACTTGGATTAAAAATCTTGCTCTTCTGTTTAAGACATTTCCTTGCAATTGGTGGAAGGATAATTTACATTATTTGGTCAGTAGGTTGTGGGTTTTTTTTTTTTTTTTTTTTAAGGCATATGCTCTACTTGTATATTTCACTGTCATTTTCAGTTAAAAAAATCACTATATAATTTCAAGAAAACCATCTTATTTGGAAATACAGTGTTGGGTCTAATTGCATATTGGTAAAAAGGTGAGCAATGTCCTAGTATTACTTGCTTGCAATGTATTTTTTTTTCACAAAACTATTTATAGTATATTATGCTCTAAGCACTTTTTAGTCTAAAGGCATTTACTGAGCAAAAATAGTCCTTTCCCCCTACCCTATATTTAGTCTGAGAGAGTTTGTGATCCATCGTTAACTCAGATTGGTGCAGGGAGGCTTGGGAATCCAGATGTAAACAGCAGCATTGTTCTACTTATTTAATTTGGAAATATGCTTGAGAGTGCTAAACAAACAAGCTATTTACACTAAGATAATTTAACTTCTACCCTTTGTGGATCAGCCTCTTACAAGACGAAAACAAACCTGTATAATCTGTTTCCTTTTTTCCCTCAGTTCCTCTTGTTTCTTCTGGAGGAGACAAGAAAGAGATTTTACAGAGGACATTAATTTCAATAATTTTATATAAAGTCTTCAGAAAACTTGAGTTAGCACAATGAAACACTTTCTGTCCTCACTGCAAAATCTAAACTCAGAAGTTAACTGGTAGCTAACTATAATTCAGAAGAGAAAAATGTTTCCCCTGGTTCTGTGCTGGGTGCTTGGCAGGGAGGGAAGCTCCTTCTCTTTGGATGGGGTAGGAGGTGTTGCCTTGTAAAGCCCTTGGAGCTGCAGTGGGAAACTGAGCGAGCCATGAGTAAGGATTTAGCAAGCTCCTATTTTAATACATGGTTGAGTTCTTTCCTGTCTGACCTAAGCAGGAGGTCTTTTGGCTGCAAGGTCGTAGTTCACCTGGGGAGTTTAGGAAACAAAAGCATGCAGATGAAAACTTACTCTTTGGCAAAGAGCAGTTGTAGAGAAAGAAGAAAATGCCGCTTTGTACTGATAGGAAAGAAGGTAACATGCACGTAATGGCATCCTTCAGAATGCACAAGTACTGTGACTAGGTTGAGAAAAAAGCAGAAGCATCATGATACTGTGTAAATGAAAAAATCTGGGAAAGACTGCAGCATTACATCTTCTCCAGTGTTAATTGGCATTGGCTTAAGCTACTGCATTTAAGGATATTAACTCAATAGCAGCTTAATTTTACAGTATTAGCAATTCTGGCCAATAACTATGAAATTCTAGATGTATCTGTATTATGTAGATAACTGATCTGATACTTCTGCCTCACTGTGCAAAATGTAAAATGAGTATGCCAGATGTTAACAGAAAAACCGGGGAAGAGGCAACATGCAGGCTGGCTGACATGTTTGAGCTTTGTTATCTAGTGAAATCTGAGGTGGAATTGAGCTAACCAAAAATCAGAGCTTTTGCTGAAGGGGGTGGGGGGAATAAGACAAGGAAGCTGTGAGCAGGACTCAGTTCGCACGAAAGGGCAGGGTCTGCAGTAGTAGAGGGAAAAATGCTCATGGTTAGACATGCAGGGGAAAAAGTCTGACATAATTTCTTGAAGCACTGGCTACAGCAGCTCCTGCGTCAGCTATGGAAAGTGGATTGAAAGTGACTGATGGGTTACAAACCCCTGTTGAAAGGGTGAGGGACAGGACAAAACCCAAAAAATCTCAAAGTGATTAGTTGTCATAAATTAGGATACATTCACAAGAAAATAAAAATTGTAGTAACTTAATAGATTTTAACACTTGAAAACAATATCCAAACTGTTTTTTAAATTAGTGAGCTGGATCCCTATCAATGCTAATTTAAAAAAATCGAAGTCATTGTTGAAAACATGTAGCATGTATCTGTGTTTTATTATCGGACTTGAGAACTTTAAGTATTGCTGCTAATGAGAGATGTGATAGTTCTTGCTTTATCAAGCTTCAAAATATTCCTCAAATTAAAATGTACCAGCCAGTTACTAGAAAGGAAGGGAAATAGTAGTTCTAAAGGTGTTTGGTCTTCAGCCTTCTGAATGAGCCTTAAAAAGGAGAGAATGAAATATAGCAAATTTAAGCTATAGAGTTGATAAAATTTTGTTTATTTTACTGACAGTTAGGTTACTTGGTCACTAAGTGGTGACTGACAAGTAGGCTTAGTTTTTGTCCCTGAAGTGGGTAAAATCCTCCCGTAAAGCAATCTAAAACACCACCAAAACAAACAGATGGGTTTATGTCCCCATTCGCTCCTCCACACCTTCCTCTTCCCACTCCCGGCAGTAGCGCTGCTCTTGGGGAAGGGTGTTTGCCAGCCCCCTCCAGCAGGAGCACACGCACAGAGCTGCTGACAGCGTCCGGGGTGCATCACGCAAGGGCACGCATCCTCCACACTTTTCAGGAAGGAAAGTCACTGCCAAGGCAACGGGCAGAAAAGTGGCAATGTGAGGTGAATTGCCAGCTCTGTTATTAGAGATGTGTGCATGTGATCAGATCACCTCTGCTCTGCAGTGCCTTTCACTAAAGCAAGTGTAACGCTTCAGCCATCGACTGGTATGACAGGCTCAAAACCCAAGAACTTTTTTGAAGCTGACAAGCAGAGGCAATTACAACTGTCATCCCAAACTTGTCACTTAGGTCTCTACCCAGGCAGAGACTTTTGGGAGATGCTGGCTGGCACTGTGTTTTGCAGGCTTCCAGGCTGTTTACTCCATGTGTGTCACCACCCACCCCAAGTCCTCAAGTGCTGCAAAGGAAAGCTCACGTCCTGTCACTAACAAATGAGTCTGGCTTTTGGTGGAGTGATTTTTTAGGTGGGAGAGGAAGTACGTTTGTTATTTCTGGTGTAAGCAATGCAGGTAACAATGAAGTACTGTGTGAACTCAGTTATAATGAGCTCCCAAGTGAAAGATTTTCTCCAGTTTAGTAGACTAATTCCCATACTTCTGTCATGCCTCTATCCAGGCATTTAGCTCAAGAGCTCAGTGGTTACCAGTAAAAGATGTTTGGTTTGCTCCGTTTAAAGTTTGAAACAAATATGTTATTGCCTTGGAAAATGGATCAAAACAAAGGTTTTACACTGTGTTCAGATGATCAAGAAGATGATCCTTTGATTTTTTTAAATTTTTTTTTTAATTGAAGAACCAAGAATTAATTAAATCTCAGAAGTGGAGCTGAATTTTAGTTAATGTGACTCAAGGCCTTGTAGCATACATCCTTCTTACACTTAAAATGAAGATCTTACACTCAGCAAGTGTGGCTGCTAAACCTTCAGTGGGGGCAGGGGAGTGGGTTGAGAAGGTAGAGCCGTGGATGAGGTGATTTGGGGAAAAGCAGACTTTTATTCATGGGTAGCAGTGCCCTAAGACTGTTTGTAGTCCCCCACGTTTTCATGTGCTCTCTATTTTTTTCTGTGAGCTCATAGTTTGCCTGGGAGCCACCCAGCAGTGGGTCTGCCTGTTGCTGCGGGAATAGGTCACAGCATCCCTGCATCTGCTTGTTGTAAAGATTAAGAGCAGTTCAGTTCTGAGGAGGGTATTTTAATGCTTCCAGCTTCTGTCATCTATCATGAGCAAGACTGCGTCAGTGCCCTCAAGTTTCCTGAACATGCCAGGAGCCCACTGGCAGTACATAAAATGCACTGTGGGAGCAGACAGTTACCACTGCAGGGCTCTTTCTCTTTAGACTGCCCACAGCTCCAAAAATACCCAGCCTTGTATTGTTGTGGTGTATTTAACAGAACCAAAGATCACTCCTCTCTGTCTTCATGCTCTGGAGAGAATGAAGCCCATGCTTTGCTTATGTTTTAAACTTCTTGTTTGTTTAGTCAAATACTGTTAGAAAGAGCAGCAGATGTGCTCTCAGCCAATGTGACTTCTCTCCCCGGACAACAGATCCCCATTTCTCCTATTGATGGCAAGTGGCTTGTGATCAACTCTGATGATCATGGTGTGCATTTATCCATGAGATGTCTTGGCCTTCAAGCCTGCATATATGTGCGTGGCAGGCTTTTGGAGTTCACTTACAGGCTTTACAACTCTGGCTGATTCTCATGCTTTCCATCATCCAGGTCAAGAGTTCTTACTGCCTTTACCTTTGCCAGGTGGCCAAGCCCAGTGAGAGGGATCTTTCTCCACCACCTCACTGCGACATTTTGCACAGATGCTGCAGAAAAGGGATGAGAGATCCCCTTGGCCCATTTGCCCATGGCTCCTTCTTCTGAGCAGATTTGCAGTCAGGGTAGGGTGCCCACAGTCCCAGCCAACAGAGCATTT